TGTCTTGCAAATCAAAGAACTTACGAGCTATGTCAATGGATAATCTCACTCTCCGATCCCGTAAACCCTGAGCCGTGTAAATCTTGCTATGTCGGTCCTTCTTCCCCGTCCCCATTCTCGCCCCAGGAGCGCTCGGAATGTTGCCAAAAGCTTGAACGTTGCTCCCCGCCACCGCAAAATTGATCACCGCCTCCGGTGTTGTGGACGTCGAGAAGTGGCCAATGGGAAAATAGGGAGCCAAAAAAGAGACAGGATCTTGGTGGGGTTGATGGAAATTGAAAGTTGTGGGTGATGGCTCAGAGTTGAGAAGTGAAGGAATTGAGAGAGGGAGATTATAGGAAGCAGTGGAAGAAGAAGGAAAGTAAGGAAAAGGGTTGAGATTATAGCTTGAAGAACCCATTTTTGTTCAATTTTTTGAAGGATTTTGGCAATGAAATGAAGCTCAAACACCTCTACCCATTAAAGATCTTATGTTCTTCTTTGATTTGAGGTCAGATTTTTAGGTTTTGGAGTTGGAGAGAAAGGGAGGAATAGAGGACAGAAGTGGGTGGGTGTGGCTATGAGCAAAAGGAAAATGGGCCCTTAAACGTGGGAGATTGTCACTTCAACAAACCCTTCTATAAAACATTCATAGTTTCAGTTCTAAATTGCTAGGGTTTAGTTATAAATGTGTTAGGGCTGTATAGCTCATCTATATATATATATATATACTCATTTCAATCACATAGATACCTTCAAAACATGAAGTGGGTATCAAAAAATGATGAGTTGAATAGCTATTGAATCTTAGGCTGTTGATCAGAAACCATTATGTCATGCTGAGTGAGTTAATAAAAGAAAAGGCTTCTGAATTGTTAGAGACTAGAAGAGAGCCCTGTAAATTAGTGTCATATTGCCCTTAACTATAGGGTTAGTCCACATAGCTACTACTAGAGATCCCTTCTAGGTTTGAATTTTTTTGGAACCAACAAAAGCTTAAGATCTTACGGCCTAGATTCACCGCCAGCAGATATTGTCCTCTTTGGGCTTTCCCTTTCGGACTTCCCCTTAAGTCTTTAAAACACTTCTGTTAGGAGAAGGTTTCTACACTCTTACAAAGTGTAATTTGTTCTCCTCTCCAACCAATGTGGACATACAGTTAGCTTGCTAGACTAGTTGAATTAAGGTTATAGAAAATTTTGGATTTTAGGGGTAGAAATTGGAGTTGACCAAGTCAATGTCAACTAGGGATAGGTTAAAATAATCTTTGGGGCGAGTCTATTAACGTTGTAAATTAAGAGAAATGAAAAAAGTTATTGAAAAAATTGGAGACTCATTGGACCGAGTTTTTGATTGCTAGTAAGATATGATTTTAGCGCTGGAATGCCTTGGAGCTAGGTTGGATGTCTATTGTTGCTTTGACGTTTATGTAATTGTTTGAAAATTTCAAGTCACGAGTGTTATGAGATGGGAATAAATGTATACATATCATGTATGTTAATGAAGATGCTGATATACCTAAACGATCTTCCTATGTTGCATCATGTTAATAAATTGATATGTTTGCATGTGAGACCTCGTACATTTTTATTCTCATAAAAGTCGTGTACCAGTGAATAAGTTCCCTTCGCATATATAAGAATTGACTACATGAAAATGATATACGTAAGGTCGATGTGCATAAACGTGATGTTCATCTATACACTAAAAGGCCTAAGGTGCGTAAAAGTGATACTCGCCTAACGTCTTTGGTATACATGAAAGTGATGTACATGAAACTAAAGATGAAATAATTCTTAAAAAACTCGAACATGACAGTGAAAAGAAACCGTTTGATTAAGAAATCGTCGAATGTTTTGGAAAAGAAATCTTTATGAAATTAATTTTTGAGATCGAATACATCGACGAGGTTTAAAAAGACATGTATTAGAGGCTTTTGTTAAAGACAACAACATCATGTGTTGACAAGAAAGTTCCTCGGAGACAGCATGTACAACATGTAACATCCTTACCTGCTTAAACTTGACCTCTTATGACTATCACTCTGTAAAGATTGCAACATTAATAAAGTTTCTGCTGTTCTCTTTTGTGCCCCTCTGTCATGCTCTCTCGGCTCGACATGTGTCACCTGACAATATTCGAAAGAACCATGTCTATTCGTGTATTTATTTTAGCCATATTATTTAGAGATAATCGAATTGGAAATAGCTATGTTCTATGTCGACGAATAGACGTGTTTGCTCGTAATGTCGAAAGGTATTCATTTATTGTATCTAAATTTCTTAAGCCTCAAAGGTGTTACTCACTTGTTTACTGGTGGATCCAGCTAAATGAAGGACATGGTTGTTGATGAATTAAGATGAACCCTAGTTTGAATTAAATAGGTGCTTTTCTGGCATGACCAATTGATGAGACATGATAGGACCTCTGAACTCCCATTTGTGTACAAAATCATTGGGGCTCATTTTTACTTTGGAATTTGGAAAATGGGTTGGTTTCCAATTACTCTTTTCATTCCTCCTTACGAAACACGATTCTATGTTAGTCGGAGAGTAGAACGAAATATTCTTTATAAATGTGTGGAAACTTCTTTCTAACAAACGTGTTTTAAAGTAGTGAGGCTGACGATGATATATAACGGGCCAAATGGACAGTATATGATTTTTAAGAGATCTCCAAATCTCGTTTATGTGAAGTTCATGGGATAGTCGAGATGTCTATTTATCTCTTGAAGTGGGTAAGGAATAGAAGAGGAAGTGGAGAGAAATTTCTACATGTTTCTGTTCAGTTTTCCGTTCCACTCCTGCCTTGTCCCACTTTCTACAAATAAACGACCATTTGATTTCAGCTCATTATACTTTGTAAAACAAGAGGTCAAAATAATGAAGTTCGGGACTTTTCTTAGAAATATTATAAACTATATACCTCTAATATTTTTCGTTCGGTGTTCGGTTAATTCTGATGTTATGTTTTGAGAAGGAATCAAATGTGAACTTGTTGGTACAAAAGGTGACAAATATATGAGATGAAGAGGAAAACTATTCCAGAAAATGTTGCAAATTAAGAAATTTATTAAATATTCTTTTGACCATCTGCTCGCCTTTTTTGTCCACACCTTTTCCAACAGTATTGTCTGGTCAAAGTCAAAAGTTAAATAATTCAATACAAAATAATAATAACAACAACAACGTAGAGAAGTTAAATAAATTGTGCATTTTAAACATGTTTACAACATTGTTTGAACCCAAATTTATTATAATTTTGATTATTTTTAGTCAACTTAGTTTTAAGTCATAACATTCTAAATAATTTATTTTAAATTTATTACTTTTTAGTTATCTTAGTATTTATTTAAAATTTTAATTTAAGTTAGCGTCGTTCCTATTTCACTAATGATAAAGATATTTTAGAATTTTTTTTAATTTAAAGTGTTTCTAGGAATTTTTAAAGTTTAACAATATTTTTATTAATTTGGCGTTTTAAAATAATTGAAATATTGTATTAATTTTTTTTTATAGTTTTAATAATGAATGTCTTGGGCCATGTCCAATAGAGCCCATATTGATAGCTCAAAGCCCAGATTAAAAGTTAGCTAAAGCCCATATTAATAGCCCAAAGCCCAGATGAAAAGTTAGCACAGCCCATATTGATAGCCCAAAGCCCAGATGAAAAGTTAGCTAGTATTTTATATTTATGAGTTTCAATTATATCATATATTTTTATGATAATAAGTCTTTAATTTACTAATAATCTTTTTTTAATTTTTTTATTAAATTTATTTTTGAGTTCGATCTTTCTCTCCTATTTAATTTTCGCTATTTAATTATTTATTTAACTTAAACCAAAATGAAAAAATTAAATTTAAATTTATTTATTTTTGTTGGTTTTTTTCGTTGAGTAGAAAAGTAAACAGTACGGACGCGGTAGGATACAGATAGATCGCTAATTATTACGCACGTGCGAGAGTTTTTATTTCTTTAAATGTTCTGGGACCCACCTTATATTCACACGCTCAGTTTCGTTTAATGTTTTTTTTTTTTTTGTTTCATTATTGTTTTTAATAATTTCTTTTTCTATTTGCATATCAGATACAATGTGTATATATAGATCATCTAAATTGACAAAATTGTCCCATCGACTTTATTATAATTTTGAGAATTAACTTTTTTTTAGCCTATAAAATAATTTTAAATCTTACAAATTCAATTCTATTGTAACGTTACGAGTGAATTTATCAACTACATTTAAAAGTCTGTAAAAAATAAAATTTTGTAAGGTCGAGAATGATAATTAAAGAGGGTCATTTGAGACAAAGTGGTCGACCATTAGGAGTGTCGTTAAGTTTGTGCCTTTTGATGTCGAATCCCCTGATGTTTGAGGTCAACCCCAAGAGTCCACATCATTAACCCTTGAGGCTAAACCCTACAAGAGTCGATCAAGAGCAGAACGGTAGAAGGTTAGATGATAGTTGAGAAGGCTAAGGCCTAAATCTTGACTATGATTAGTCAAGATGTAATTAAAAAATTATCTAAGTGAGAGTCGAACCTTACAATCGTTTCACATGCTTAACATGTCGTGTCATGATAATTACAATTAAGTTATAGCACTCGGAGAACAATTTATAAACTACCATATAACTATGATAAGTTACGATAAATTTGATCATGATAACTACCTTAAACATGTCGGAGAATTTGGTGATGATTTCATTGGCAAGAAACAAAAATTGTAAATAAGAGTCTGAAATCATTGGGCAAAATATCTAAAATGTGTCTCTATTATTTACATGTGAAGGCATGAAGAAGTAAAGCAAAACAAGAGTGAGTTTTGAGTTAGTCGTGCCAGCAGAGGATCATGACGATACAGCTACGAATAATATAAAGTCTTCCCTTTTGTTGTCTGATATAACCTTGAAAGGATGATTTTGATATCTTCTTGCTCCTCCCTTCTCCCATGGTAGCATCTGCAAGTTTAGTGCTTCTACTCATCTTCTTCTTCTTCGTCTTCTTCTTATACCCTTTTGATTAGCAAGCTTAAGGCTTCTGTGAAGTTATTAAGAGGATATTTTGCCGTGATAATTAGTTAGAATATATATCAGATATTTAGGGAGTTGTTAGTATAGATTTTATTAACCGTATATTTTATTTATTTACCAAATTTAGTTAGATATATATTTTTTCTATTTTTAGGTATTAGTCGATAGTTTGTATCCTATTTAAACGTGGTAAACCTGAATGAAGATCATACTTTCGATCCCAATTCTATTTCTATTTCTCATTCTTAACATGGTATCAGAGCACCGATCTTGGTGTTCTTAAATATCAAAATTTCCTTTATGGCGGAATCAGCCAAATCCAGCTTCAAAATTTCGGATGTTGATTTAACACATCCGTACTATATTCATCACTCTGATCAGCCAGGATATTCACTTGTTCCAATCAAATTAAATGGAGCAAATTACCAATCCTGGAGTAAATCAGTTATGCATGCTCTTATTGCCAAGAAGAAAATTGGCTTCATTGATGGCACAATTGAGGAACCGTCCCAAGATGCAAATTCAACCGAATTCGAACTCTGGAATCAGTGCAACAGTATGATAATATCTTGGTTAACTCATTCCGTTGAAGCAGATATCGCTAAAGGCATTATTCACGCCAAGACAGCTCATCAAGTGTGGGTTGATCTTCACGATCAATTCTCACAAAAGAATGCTCCAGCAATTTTTCAAATACAAAACTCGATAGCAACGATGTCACAAGGAACCATGGCGCTGTCAACATATTTCACCAAGCTCAAAGCACTTTGGGATGAACTGGAAGCGTACCGCACACCATTTACCTGTAATCAACGTCAAATACATATTGATCAACGCGAAGAAGACAAGTTGATGCAATTGCTCATGGGGCTTAATCAGTCTTATAAAACGGTGAGATCTAACATATTGATGATGTCTCCATTACCTAATGTGAGGCAAGCCTATTCATTACTTGTACAAGAAGAGATGCAGCGTCAGGTAACTTCCGAACCTACTGAGAATTTCTCGATTGCATCAGCAGTGCAAAAGAAAACAATATATTCAAAATTCGCCAAGGACAAAAAGTGTGAACACTGCAATAAAAGTGGTCATACAATCAATGAGTGTCGAATTCTTAAGTTTCACTGTAACTTTTGTGATAGAAGGGGCCATACAGAAGATCGGTGTCGACAGAAAAATAATTCTGGAAGGACAAGACAAGACAATCAACACAATAACCGTGGATATCGATCATCTGCAAATATGGCCGATGTTTCACAGTTGAATACAGAAGAACAGTCACCTAATTCCATTCCAAATTTTTCTTCTGAGCAATTACGAGAGATAGCACAAGCCTTATCTGCAATCAATCATCACCCTTCTGGTAATTCTGACAATCACGTCAATGTTGCAGGTTTGTTTCCCATATCTACATTATCTATTAACTCTGCGAGTTCTAATTCATGGATTCTCGATAGTGGAGCTACGGATCATATAGTATCAAAATCTTCTGTTATGACTGAACCAAAGGCTGCCATCATGTCTGCAATAAATTTGCCTAATGGAGAGACAGCACGTGTGTCACATACTGGCAATATTTCCCTTAGCCCTAACCTTCAATTAAACAACGTTTTATGTGTGCCTTCATTCAATTTAAACCTAATGTCGATCAGCAAACTTACCAATAACTTGAAATGTTATGTCACCTTCTATCCTGATTCTTGTGTTATGCAGGACTTGGCTACGGGGAAGATGATTGGCTCGGGTAAACAATTTGGAGGTCTCTATCATATTTCTTCATCTCCAATCAAATCTTCAGCTCATCAAGTATCTCAGTCATCTAATTTGTGGCATTTACGCCTAGGTCATCCTTCCTTTTCTCGTTTTAAATTTCTAGCTGATCAATTGCATCTTAATAATGCGAGTTATTCTCATAATTGTAGTATCTGCCCGTTAGCAAAACAAACTAGGTTGTCTTTCCCAAGAAGTTCAATAACAACCCATTCTGCTTTTGATCTGATACATTGTGATGTTTGGGGACCACATAAAATTCCTACCCATTCTGGTTTGCGTTTTTTTCTCACTATTGTTGATGATTTTACTCGATGTACTTGGGTTTTTTTAATGCAACATAAGTCAGAAGTACATCATTTGTTAATGAACTTTGTTAAATTCGTTCAAACTCAATTTCATACTACTATCAAGATAGTTCGATCAGACAATGGGACTGAATTCCTATCTTTGCAACCATTCTTTACTTCTTGTGGTATTGAATTTCAGCGCACTTGTGTCTATACTCCACAACAAAATGGAGTCGTAGAACGCAAGCATCGCCATATCCTAAATGTAGCTAGGTCTCTTCTTTTTCAGTCACAGGTTCCACTTAATTTTTGGGGAGAGTGCATTTTAACGGCTGTTTATCTTATAAATAGAACGCCATCACCATTATTATCTAACAAGACACCCTTTGAAGCACTCTACAAACGACCACCTACATTTCATCATCTTAAAGTTTTTGGTTGTAAATGTTATGCAACTATAGTACATCCTAAGCAAAAATTTGAACCTAGGGCAACTCCTTGTGTTTTCGTAGGATATCCTTGTGGTCATAAAGGTTACAAGTTGTATGACATGCAATCTCACAAATTCTTTATCAGCCGTGATGTCAAATTTTGTGAAGATGATTTTCCTTTTTCATCAGCTTCACAAACTTCGACATTAGCTCCTTCGACTCCTGTTGTACCACTTCATGATCCATCCTACTCAAACATCCATCCTCCACCTTCTATTCCTTCACCTCCTACTCCTCCTTCACCTCCTATTCCTTCACCTCCTACTCCTCCTTCACCTCCTATCCCTTCACCTACTACTCCGTCGTCTCCTCCACCTTCTCCAGATTCGCCCACTAATTCCAATCCTATCCCACCTGATACATCAGCTCCACTTCGACGTTCTACTCGTACTAAACAGCCTCCAGCTTGGCATAAGGATTATGAGATGTCTTCTGGAGCCAATCATTTAACCTCTAGCTCAAGTCCCGGCACTGGCACCAGGTATCCCCTTCATCATTACCTTTCATTCTCTCGTTTTTCTCCTACTCAACGTGCTTTTCTAGCTCTTATTACATCCCAGACAGAACCTAAAACCTATGACGAGGCAGTTGGCGACCCGTTATGGCAGCAGGCTATGAATGATGAAATTGCAGCTTTGGAACGTAATCATACATGGTCTCTCGTTCCTCTACCACTTGGTCATAAAGCTATTGGTTGTCGTTGGGTGTACAAAATTAAATACAACTCTGATGGTTCTGTTGAACGTTATAAAGCTCGACTAGTAGCAAAGGGATACACTCAGGTTGAAGGTATTGATTACACAGAAACATTTTCCCCTACAGCGAAACTTACTACACTTCGTTGCTTACTCACTGTTGCTGCTGCTCGAAAATGGTTCACCCATCAGTTGGATGTTCAAAATGCCTTTCTCCATGGTAATCTAGACGAGGAAGTTTATATGTCTTTACCACCAGGTCTTCGCCGACAGGGGGAGAATACAGTATGTCGGCTCCATAAATCTCTTTATGGATTAAAACAGGCTTCTCGCAATTGGTTCTCCATATTTTCTACAACTATACAAAATGCAGGCTACACTCAGTCCAAAGCAGATTACTCTTTGTTTACTAAGAGTAAAGGTACTTCTTTCACTGCAGTTCTAATCTATGTTGATGATATTCTGTTGACAGGCAATGATCTCGAAGAAATTCAATATCTCAAGACTAGTTTACTCCAGAAATTTCTTATCAAAGATTTAGGAAATTTGAAATATTTTCTAGGCATTGAATTTTCTCGATCTAGAAAAGGAATTTTTATGTCTCAAAGGAAGTATGCTCTAGACATCCTTCAAGACACAGGTCTTACAGGAGCACGTCCAGACAAATTTCCTATGGAGCAAAATCTGAAACTTTCTTTAACTGAAGGAGAGAAGTTGAATGATCCAAGTAAATACAGACGGTTGATTGGCAGATTAATATATTTGACCGTCACTAGGCCTGACATAGCTTATTCAGTTCGTATGCTTAGCCAATTTATGCATGAACCAAGAAAACCACATTGGGAGGCAGCTCTTCGAGTTCTGAGGTACATCAAAGGCACTCCTGGTCAAGGACTTCTACTGCCATCTGAAAACAATTTAAGATTACAGGCATATTGCGATTCTGACTGGGGTGGTTGTCGAACTTCCAGACGATCTATTTCTGGGTTCTGCATTTTCCTCGGAAATTCAATTATTTCTTGGAAGTCTAAAAAGCAAACTAATGTGTCCAGATCATCAGCAGAAGCCGAGTATCGAGCTATGGCAAATACTTGTTTAGAGTTAACTTGGTTAAGATACATTCTTCAAGACTTGAATGTTCCACTGTCCGAACCAGCATTATTATATTGTGATAATCAAGCAGCATTACATATAGCAGCCAATCCAGTTTTTCATGAACGTACGAAACACATTGAAATAGATTGCCATATAGTTCGAGAAAAGTTACAAGCTGGAATCATCAAACCGTGTTATGTTTCGACCAAAATGCAATTGGCAGATGTTTTTACTAAAGCTTTGGGAAGACAGCAATTTGACTTTTTGAAGGACAAGTTGGGTGTGATCGACATACACTCTCCAACTTGAGGGGGAGTATTAAGAGGATATTTTGCCGTGATAATTAGTTAGAATATATATCAGATATTTAGGGAGTTGTTAGTATAGATTTTATTAACCGTATATTTTATTTATTTACCAAATTTAGTTAGATATATATTTTTTCTATTTTTAGGTATTAGTCGATAGTTTGTATCCTATTTAAACGTGGTAAACCTGAATGAAGATCATACTTTCGATCCCAATTCTATTTCTATTTCTCATTCTTAACAGAAGTGAGGCAACAACAGGGAGGGCTCTGAATTTATATAGAGGAAGGGAAAGGAAAGCCTGTGTTCTTCTCTCTCTCTCTTCGGGTTATGAAACAGCATTTATTTGGGGATTCAACTACCAAGAAATTTTGTCGCCCATTGATTATTAAATTCTGGAGTGGAAAAAGAAGAACACCACCAACAACAACAATGGTCTTGGGATCTGTGACGCCATTCATTTTTTTTTTTTTTTTTTTTTCCCTTCTTCTTCATTTTGGTGCAATTTTACTTTTGTTTTTCTTTTATTTATTGAGACATTATTAGGAAAAAAAAAGTATACAAATTGAGTTTGTATTCTTCCATTTTGTCCCATCCTATTTTACCAAATTTCTTATTATATTTATATACTAAGTTTAATTTGGATTATATTTAAAATATAATGTAAGAAAACAAAGCTTATACAAATTACAAATCCCAAAAAAAAAAAAAAAATGCAATAAATTAATATGATGTGAAGCTTAATCCACAACATAATCCCACGTATAATGTATCGTGTTCCTCCCATTTTCTTTGTCTTTTCTAGTTGATATAATTTGTTTCTCGAAACTATAACTAATTCTTTAAATATGTAATGACCAATGTTTAGGATTCGAAATCCATATTGTACTAACATTTTTGTGCGATATAATCATGTTATTTACCGTTTGTTTCTTAAGAGTTCAAGGTTATCTCAAAATTAACACGAGTTTTTTCAACATGTTTTGTCTTCACTCACATATATCGAGAGAAAATTCCTAAGAAATCATCAAATATGAAATGGTTCTAAGTAAAACATATTTAACCATGGAATTCCTACGAATGAGCCACCGATGAAAAAGGTGCACTCTGCACTCTTACTTAATTAAACCCAAAAATAATAATAATGCAAACAAAAAAAATTAATAGGTATAATATCGAAGAATCTTTCCTAAGGAGAACATCGTATCTACGTTATTGAATTACGAACATTTATTTAATTTAATGATAAAATAAATAAAAAAAAATGTTTGAATATTTAATACATATAATATAATAATTTAATCATAAAGCCATAAGACAACAATGGATGCTCAAAGTCCAAGTCAAATTTTTTTAGAAGAGGAATGTATAGAGCCAAAAATAAGGGACTCTCATGCACGTGACAGCCACGTGAAGACCAAGGCAGTGCCCTTAATATGCTAGACAACCTTGGTTTTGGGTTCGACATGTCGTCGATATGTTCCCTAAATTCTTCCGATCATTTTTTTTAAGAGAATTAAATAAACTATGAATATTTAAATCTCTAAATCATTTAGGATAATTACCATATCTTAAGTCTTCCCCCTTAACCTCTCGAGGACACCAGCTAGTTTATTCAAAGAAATTAGAACGCAAAGTACCCATATTGTACGTACCATTTTCATTTAGTTTAATATTGTGGTTTTGGTTCAAGCGTGGATTGAGTTAAATATAAGAAGTCATGGAGAAGAAGCTTGTAATTCAGAATCAATTGAGATTAGACAGTGTATTTTTCTAAAATAGTAAGTCATGGTCATATATGGTTGACGCTACGTGTACTAGCCTTGTGTTTGACGAGAATGTTTTGTGCATAGGAGCGGGATCATTACAGTCGTGAAATATTTGTACGTTTTTTCTTCTTCATTACTATACTTTTCAAAGTGATGCATAGTGGAGCCTATAGTATGAAAGTGGTGAACATGCTCGTAAAACATATGTATGAAATTGATACATATTTCGGGTTTGAAGGTAGTCATCAAACCCAACGGATTTCTTATATTTTTGTACATGATATCCTCTCATGTATGGGTCTTAAGCCCAACTTCAAAAGAGTAATAAAAGCTCAATCATTTTTATTTGAACTCATTTCTAACGTACGTGGTCTAAATTCATTTATGTACTTCTCCTTTGCTCGGGTGTCACAATCTAGACCAGAGGTCAAAAGTTTGATTCCGTTTAATAATTTACCAAAACTCATTTGACCTACAATATCTAATTTTATAGGCTCGTAGAAATAAATTAGAACATAACTCAAGTTGTCCAAAAAGTTCAACTACGCTTTAATAATTTACCTCTAACCTACTATATCTAGTTCTGTAGGCTTAAATGAGTAAATTCCAACGTAACCGAAGTCGAATTATTGCCTAGATCAAAGGTCAAAAGTTAACTTTTGCTCTAATAATTTACAACTTCGCTCTAATAAGCTCTATCTAGTTTTGTAGGCTTCAATGAGTAAATTTGAGCATAACTCAAGTCTAAGTCATTACCGAGGTCGAAAGTCAAGTTGTTCTCCCAACCAGATGTTAGAAGTTCAATTCTGGTCATAGTGTCAAGTCGAAGTCATTACCCCGAGTAGAGGTCAAAAGTCGAAAAAGGTTAGAAGTTCAATTCCGCTCGAAGCAGGTGGAAAACCCTCAAATGGTACGAAGGAAACAAAAATGAAGAGCTAGAATGGTTTTCTTGTTCTTCAGAAAACCTTATTTTATATTACCCCACCAAATAACGAATATCACATAGAATTCTTCTAAATTTTATTTTGATCAGTTAATAATTATCAGAACATTAACCAAAAAGAAAGAAACAGAAACATATATTTGGTGGAATAAATAAAAGCAAATTCAGAACAGTTTGTAGGGAGGTACCCTTTGGAACAGAGAGATGAGTTTTCACCTTTTATTGCTTTTTTTTTTTTTTTTAATCTTCCTCTGCTTCTAATTGTTCCCAACATAGACCAGTCTGTGTTAATAATCAGTACAGAGAGAAGAAACCAACCTGCATTTAACTCCACCGCCATTGACGGCCATTGAAGCGCAGCTCCATCCTTCACCGGTTTCAATGGATCATATCCTTCGAATTCCCTGCTGCTACAACAACCAACCCTTGCCCCTGATTTCCAATTTGCTCCACAAGCTTCGTTAATTTCGTATGCTTGCTGCACCAGGCTTCCAGCAGCTTTGCCTCTTTGTTCTCTGCGTCTCTTCGCATAGCACTTACTTGCTCTCTGTAATCGCTTTCGATTCTTCCCAAATACGCCATTTCTTCCTCCCTCAACCTACGTATCTTCGCTTCCATCTCCTCCATTTTCTCTCGCTTCTTTCTCGCTTTCTCCGATTCCAGCTGTTGCTCTAATCGAGTCAGTCGCCATGTCGCCTCCTTCTTGTGTTGAAGCCAAATCTGGCGCCCTTCTTCCAACTCCTTACAGTATAGGACTAAGGCTCCCATCTGCTGAACCGGTAACAATCGGTTCATTTCCGAGTCGAGAACGACCGGTTCGGAGGGAGATAGCGTGAGACTCACCGATGGCGACGGCGTGGTCGACGAGGTGGAAGACGAAGCGGTGCTGGTGGAGTTGACGTTCATCCACAGAGGAAGGACGGTGGAAGACGACGTCGTAGAGTTCACGGATCCGAGCGAGAGGACCGGATCAGCGTCGGGGACGGGAAGGCGAGGCATCACGTTGGCCAACGGCGGGGGAGGAGGAGGAGATTGAAACGCGGCGGAGTAAAGCTTCGGCTGGACGTACTTCTCAGCGAAGGTTTCCAAAATATGATCGTACGGACCTTGTAGCGCCTTCTCCGGCGAGGAAACACCGGAGATCGAAAGATTCCCGTCGGAATTTTGGTAATCGCGCCTCTGCGTTAGGTTCTGCGCCTTCTGCAACTTCTTAAGTTGCTTCTCTTTAAAAACCTCCCACCACTTGCCGAGGCGCTTGGCCGTACGGCCGGGAACCTCGGCAGCGATCTTCTTCCACTTATTGCCGTACTTAGCTTGAAGAGAGATGACGAGAGTCTGCTCCTCGGGAGAGAGGGAGCCTTTCTTCAAGCCAGGTTTAAGGTAATTCTTCCAGCGCTCCAGACAGGATTTAGGATCGCGATAGAGAGGCTTCCCCATACGCTGAGAGATGAGATTCCATTCTTTAGGGCCATATTGCTTGACGTAGGCTCGTAGGAGTGCGTCTTCTTCCGGCTGCCAGCGCTGGCGGTCCTTCATTTCATCGCCACCATAGCTGCAGTGAGAATAAGCTCAAATGGCAGAGATGGAGACGGAGCTCATTGTAGAGAGAGAGAGAGAGAGAGAGAAATGAGTGAAGCTGAAGGAGGACGAAGGAGGATGATGATGCGTACTGTTGTTATTATGGAGCTCCGATGCTCTGCTGAAATCTATTACAGACTCCACGCGCCTTTTTCCAATTTTTCACGCGCCTCTATTTGGCTCAGTTCTCAAACTATGTGACAAATTTAAAGGTTTTATTTACGTTTTTTAACTTTTCCTCTAACTTTCTTACTTTATTTATTTTCTTTTGGTCCCAAATTTCTGCACATTCCTCTCATTTTATTTTTTATTTCTCGAAAAAAAAAAGAATATAAATTAGATAAAATACATAAATATTTTGCATAAAATTAAATTGTAATAATTATTTAAGCAATTGAATTTTTTTACTGATTTTACAATTTAATTCATTCTATTTTAGTTTTATTTTATTTTATTTTAATATGCAAATTAATCAAATAAGTCCATACAAAAAAAAAAAAAAATAATAAATAAAGTAAAGCGTACCTCTTTATTTTTTTTCTTCCATAGTATTGTATTATTTATTTTCTCTGGGAAAAAAAATAAGAGTAAGAATTAAAATATAGAAAAGGGCAAAAGTAATTATAATCCAACAATATCAAATTTTAATTAAATCAATTTAGCATAATACATAATCCAACAATAAAAAAAAAATATTGAAAAAAATGAAATATATTAGAGTGAATAATTAGAATGGGCCCACAGTTTTTGGAATTCTGTCCTTTCTTTTTTCTTATTTTTTTGAATTTGTTGTTATCGTAAACGTGAATAATGTATAAACAACAAATGTGGTGGAAATTTCTAGTGCCAATTTATTTGTTTATAGTTAATTTAAAAAATAAAATAAAATAAAAAATAGAAAATAAATTATAGAGTATGCTGATAAAATTGAAAATAATAATAATAATAATAATAATAATAGGGAAGGCGGTGGGGGGTGGGTGTCAGAGGAAGGTGGTGGGTATTGGTTTTGGAGCAGCGTGAGTGGTGTGGTGTGGTGTGGCAGATGATATACACATACCCACTCAGAATCTCAGAACTGACTGGACAACACTCCCCCCACACCACCGCTTTAAAAAAATTTAAAACCCCAA